GGGGAGGCAGACAGACAGACAGGGGCCTTGTGCTAACTGCTCTCTCACTATATATTATATTCTTATATGTACCACATCAGAGCACCTGCCAACAATCCACTGCCTTACCATACTACTCCTGATATTTGTTTGAATAAGTGAAGCACATCAACACAATAATGATCATTTAGTGATGGGAAATGATAAGACAGAAACAAAGTGGTAAGTTTAGTTTTAGTTTTAATAGAGGTTTTACGGCGCTCGCAACTGCATAAGGTCATATGAGCGCCACAAGATTAGAGGTGTTACAAGAGAGTGACAAACATATAAAAAGAGAATGGGAGATAAGACGATAGATGTTTGATAGGAAAGAAGAAGCAAACCACACCAAAGCACCCGCCAACGACCCACAAAGGGCTAAAGTAAAGAAGTAGGATTTACCAGTGGCGCCCTCCACCCCAACTACCCGCACCACTACTGACAGCTGATGACAGGAACACAACTGTTCAGAGAAGCAATAAGAAAAAGAATAGAGGAACAACAGATGTTTTAACACGCTCCTGAGATCTGCAGGAACATCGTCCCAATAACTAATAGTATGGGATTTTTCATGCATGGAAAAAGTAAGGTAGAAAGACAGAAACACATGAAAAAAAAAAGTAGAATTTAGGTCTGGCAGTCCCTTCTACCAACCCAACAGCAGAAACAATGTTCCCAAACAACAAAAACAAAAGAACCCAAACCAACAATCAATTTCAGGACAAATTGTTTATTTATATTTACCAAAGTATAAATAATTTGCAGAGTCCCAAACATTTCATTTTCGTGAACGGGACATTTCATTCATCATCACTGGAGCAAATATGCAATATTTGGAAATGAAACAACAATAATGAATGAAAAAATACGCATAGACTTTTTTCACATTCACAGAAAACAAAATGCTGTGTAAAATGACAATTGCTTTTCTGTTCATCTGTAAGGAACAACATACACAAAAAAAAAGAGGAAACAACAACAAATCTATGTTGCTGCCTAGACACCAGATATTACTCACAAAGGACATTTTGTATGATAAAAAAAAAAAAAAGAACAAGAACATCATTCCAGAGCCACCAGCAGTTTGCAGCAGGCAGACTAGTGAATTTTTCCTAGCGACTTTTTAACTTAAAAAAATAATGTAGATGTTCTTTACACCCCCACCGACAGAATTTAGATCATTTTGGGGGAAGGCTTCCGACCCTGCCTGGTCAGGGTCAGTGCGGGTTGAGAGGTATAAAACATCTCAACAGAATGACCGAGATCCTCGATAAACATTTTCTCTTCACTTGGGAATTAAATTTGGCTTCTGTACGTGACAGTGAAGCACCTAACCACTACACCAGACACTGGTTAACATGAACATGTTTCAGTTGACTTTACAAAGTTACATCAAGAGTCATATGTAGGTTTTTGCAAATCCATACCCTTTAAACCAGAGAGAAAAAAACCTAATTTGTCCAATATGGGGATAAAAGAGCGAGAAGTACATCTATCTTGCATCAGCTGTGGATTGGCATGAGCAACTTCTTACTGAGAATGCTATTTACCCTCACCATCCCACGAGACCTCAACCCACCAAATTAATGTAGTATTAACTGCTTTTACAACCTCTTAAAATGAAATCTCATTATAATCAAAGACAAATCGTAAAAGATTTGCTTGATGAGTTAAAAACCAAGTGTGGAGGCACTGGAAACAGATTCTAGATCAAGCTCTGTTTGAGACCAAAATAATAAACGAGACGAGAGCTCTATGGTCTTCTGGCCCAAATTTAGAGCTGCACAAACACAATCGGCTCTCAGAGGGTATGGCAGACTGGGAGACAGGAGGAATTACTCGTCGTCACCAGCACTGAGGATAACATCACTGAATAAATTAACATGTAAGCCTTCAAGCAATAATCATTCATACATTATATCACAGTCATTCCCAGTGATGTCAACCTGAGACGCTGATGACGCTAGGAGGAGGAAACGGCATCCCCAGCAAGCATCACCACACCCTAATGACAGACTACGCACCACTACCTTCAAATGTCTCTGTGATCAAATTATTTTGCCAAACTTATCAGGGAGCATCTTTGAGAACAGCCTCAGAGGTCTGAATCCGTTCATTAGCCAGATGGGAAAATACAACTAAAACAAAAGCCTTATAATAATAATAATAGAAATAATATAAAAGAGATGTGAACTTTGGTCAAGCCCTTTTGGTAAAGGAGAGAAGAATAAATATTGGAGCCATTTAAATTTGTGACATTGAAAATGATCAAATACTTGTGCTTCCGTTGATGTTTTATATAACCCACTAGACACTGAACAGAAAATTTTTAAGGCAGAGCACTTGGTCCCCACACAGGACACATGTCTGATAAAATATCGATGGTGTCCAACACAGTTGGAACAACTCCAAACTTTTCTAAAATCTTGATTTTTGGACTGCATTGTAAAGCTGGATCAGATACATTTTCCCAACAAATGGTGTAAAAACTCAAATGAATAGAAATGCATGCAAAGTTGAATACAAGTTAAAGTGGTCTTTTAGAATATTATAGTCGCGCAGCTCTTTCCTCGTTTTGTAAAAAAAAAAGTTCCAGGGAGACTGCCAATCCATGCCCAACACCATCGATATCTAATGTGTATGGATGGACGCCCTGCCCCCTCCACTGCAATAAAAGTAAGAACTTTTATGAAGCTAATAATATTCATTGGGACTAATGGAGTGGGGAAAAATAGAAAAGAAAAAGATATACGACTTCAGGCTTTGTTTCTTGAGATCTGTAGTCTATCAAGTCCACTCACGTAAAGCAAGAAATATATACTAGTATATTCCACTCTAAAAGAACTCAGCACATTACTGAAAACAATTGTGACAAGCAAAAGACGACAGATAAGAACAAGTATCTTTCACGTAGATCCAGTCTCTTTGAACAAGAGGCTTTGCTCCATGAAGATGTTCAACAAACTATCTCTCTTCCCTCGGCCACAAGGAGTAACAAAAGGGGACAAAATCTGTTGGCAGCCAGCTGTACTGACACTGGGCACAAACTAAACCAAGACAAATGTTCCCACAAGAAACAAAATCATTCAACCATGCGGTGAGATGATGTTAATGTTATGAAAAATAAAAAACGTAATTCTATACAGGAAGCAAATGTAAAACATTGTAGTAAGATAAAACTATATATATCGGGCAAGGCCTGTCACTGGTGTCTTCGGTGTGAACTACACAGTACACATTGAATGTCCGCATCATATGAATTGATACGTTGAACGTTGACGTCTTTTTGGTAAGAACATGCACATATTGCTGAATTTGTATAGAAACAGTTCAGTTTACCAATAAATGTAAAACGAGAGCACTCATTAGACACAAAACTCAGCTGAACATTTTTTATCATGAGTACATGTCGCAAACAGCGAACGTATGTGAAAGAATCACAATAATGGAGATACGCTTATATGCGATTTGCACACTACCAAAGAAAACATTGCAAACATTTCAGGGCAGTTGAGGTCAAGATCAGTGAACAACAAATTAGGAACTTGCAATTGCAGCAAATTTTAATGGCAATACAGATCGAACGCAATCTTTAAACAAACATTCAGAGACAACATTGGAAACGGCCCAGCAACAAGTGATCAGCACCATCTCTCATCATCATCATTCAAAGTTCTCAGGGCTGGGGCAAAGCTGCAAGCCTTCAGGTCTAGATAAATGACACCACCAACATCTAAAGCTGAAGAAGTGCAGACAGTGCTGCTGTCCCCACATAAACACCATTTGTACCGGACATCTCAACACAAATTGTGTGTGGGTATGGGGTGGGGGGTAAACTGGGCCAGAAAACAGAAATATATTATATAAACCTGGAATGTTCTCTTAGCAATAAGCAAAAATACAAGGGTATCACATTCATCCTGCAGTCACTGGACCACACAGACTAAACTGGCAAACATTCCAAACAATTGGTCCACACTGAATATCTTGTCCCCCTTTTACCTCCAGTTAAAAAAAAGAATTAATTCTGCAGTAAACACACACAACAAACATTCCTGAGAATAGACTAGAAGAGAAAGAGGCATGAAACCCCCCCACCGAAAAAATCTTTAAAAAAGATAGACAACTGACCCACACATACACTCCCCCATGAAATTCGGAACAGGAATGAAATTTATATAATGAGCCAGCATCAAATCTATGTCATATTTCATTATCTACCTTTCCTTTACAAATCAAGTAAATTTTCACTTACTATTGAACGTATTTTAAAAACTGTAATATGAAATTCAATTGGTCTTTTTTCATCAAGAGTTTGGATTGGGCGCTTAACATTTCATAACGATATATGATCTACGAGTCGTTAACAAAATAAAGATCCAAAATGAATACCTTGAAAGGAAAATTGTGTTTTTAATGTTGGCAGCAATCAATCAATGAAACAAGGGATGTGACGAAGCCTAAAACAATCTTCAAGGTATCAGATCCGCTCCAGCTAACTGACATATTCACTACCCAATGACCTTGTGTCTTTTTATGATTTCCCTGCTTTTTTCACACACTATGACTGAACACATTCCTCCAATCTCCTCTACTGTCCACCTGAAATGCATAAAACCGTATTGAGCTTACAATGACACAGTGTGTCAATTAAAATGAAGAAGTTGGAGGCTCTGGTGTGTTAAGTCTCTTGCAAAATCTCTATTTACAGGAAGATTTGCAAGCTTTTTAGCATTCCCTCACTCATCATACGGTAGCAACTATTTGAACTATAACCGTGGAGGGGGGGGAATTCAGATCAGTGCATTTGTCATACAACAATTATCTAGAGCCGAATGACATCTAAATTGACATGCAAAAACCAACTGACTCCTCCAAACTGCCTGCATCATCCAATGACTCATCCAACCCTCCATGATCTAAAATAACTCCCAAAAATATATCGGGCGAGAAGAGCAAAACTGAAAACCAGAAAAGGGATATTCACTAACCAAAATATTTCTTAACAACAAAAGGTCAGCCCCTCCTTCGAACTAGGTAAAGGGGAATTAGCAACTTTTCAAAATGTGTAAATACAAAGCAAAAAGTGAGATTCCAAATACTGATTTAGCCAACCACAGGGGAAAAAGAAGCATCTACAAGAAATCTACATGCTAAAACTTTTCAACTGAAGTATAGAACTCATAATTTTGAAGATGTAGAGTATGATATGAATACATTTCCTTCCCTATGCGAGTCCATTTTCTACCTGCATTCTTTTTAAAAAAATGAAGATTGAATGACTGGATAAAAACCCAGTTCTACTTATTTTGACAGTGATTAAAGAGCACCACAGCTGGTTATCATGATACCTCTCCTCTTTCTTTCACTCCACTTAAAAAACCCCCCCACCAAATAAATCAAACTTCCCATTGGTGAAGCTGACTTCAGAGCATTCCAAAAAGAGCTGAGACTAGATCACAAGTGACAATGTTTTCCACAAGAAGTTCATGATCTGAGGAATCTGGCTTTGGGCTTATAAACAGATAATTAATCCAGCAGACACAACAAAAAATGTTTTAAAAAAATAAAATCCAATAATTCACCTGCCACACAAACAAACTAGTCATAAAACTGGGGATAGCGGTAGAAAGAAGGAATATCAGAACAATGTTGACTTACAGTGTTCATTTCACAATTCCAAAAACAGATTTTAAAATTCCAAACCGGCATGGGCAAATTTCATGAGTTCTCCTAGACCATTTCACAGCACAGTGAGAGAGCAATGACAACAACATGCAGCCCAGCCACTCCCAAAAATCATTTGAGGGCTGATAGTAAAATGGAAAATTAAAATTTGTATTTTGAGATGTGGTGTATATTTGTAAATGTATATTATTATATTATTTATATAAATGTAATCTACACATTTTTATTAAAAGATAATTTATTCTTTGTACTTACAGACTAAAATGCACTTCTTAGGTAAACAGGACACCTGCTTGCAGATGATACTTATGCTACTACAAGGAAGGCACATGTGCGATGGCATAGAAAGAAAGCCATTCTTACTTTTTTCCATTCCACCTTCACATGTCCTTCAATGCTAAAATTACAAACAATTCACCTGGTGTTGGAGTTGGAAGCTCATTTGTTTCCAATCACACACACACACACACAGAGGAAATATGTAACGACTTGTAAATGGTATTACTTCAAGATAAATCATTCATATAATTTATGTGCTTATGTACAAAAGCCAAATTATGCATGAGAAACAAATAATACATTATGTTCAGTTGCATAATCGGAACAACCTGGAAAATAGGACTTTCAGGCAAGGAAAAAAAATCATACAAAAGATAAAATAAATAAGAAATGACAGGATTTCATTGACAAGAATGCACAGGAGAAAAGGATCGAGAAAAAAAGTTGTCCTCGTTTTCAGTGACAAGATATTACTGAGGACTCGCCACAATAACACGAGTAATACTTCTGTCATGACAAAGCTGCAACTGATTATCTTGGTAACTAGAGGGTATAGACAACAGCATACAACCTGACTAAAGCACCAGGCAAATATGGTTTCCCATTTCTATGAACTGTAGTCTAATGTAAATAGTTCTATGTTGGCGAGAATCTTCGATAGAGGACAGACATAAATATACCATATGTAGTTAGGTTCTTAAATCTTCAAAAAAAGTGACTGCAAAGCTTAACTTAGATCAGGTTTGAGGCACATATATTACATGTACAAGGAACCAGCGCTGCATTGAAAATTTGAAAGATCAATTCAACTTGCAATTTTCAATTAAACCAATAAATTTCAAAACTATAGTATAGTCACAAAAAAAGAGTATTGATTTACTTATTAGCAGTTTGATACCACAATACAAAGATCCGCAATAATTTATCCTTGATAAAAATATACCGTTTCATTTTTCTTGTGCAAGTCTACGTTTCTTAACATTTTACTTTTCAAAAAATAATAATAACGAAAATATTCTAAAATCCGAAATAGTCTTTCGAAAATGCATTCACAATAAAATCACTTTATAAATATCACTAACAATTCTACAAATACAGAGTTTTGTCCATGACACGCAAACTGATGTGCCCAGAGATCATGGGAGGGAAGAAAAATAAATTAATTGTTTAAATTAAAACAAGGAAGATACATTGCTGCCAACTAGTAGAGGAGTAGAAGTACAGAAAGTGAACAGTCAATTTGAAACAAATGAAGAACAAAAGACTATAGAGACTACAAATACTTATCATCAAAGAGATTCTCACCTATGATCACTTACAGAATTCAACTTACATATTATATAAATATCACTCTCAACTGAGATCGCCATGAACTGACCGTGACTCTGTCAACATTTGCCAGCCGCATCCACATCTTTACCCACTCTTAAAGGACAATTGCACCAGTGAATACAGAAAATACATCATACCCCAAGTGTATTTTTCTCCATGGGTATGATTAACTCGTCAACGGTTTTTGTTTACGTAGTTGTTCGCCAAAATTCTCAAAAACAAACATTAATTCCAATTCACAAAAAACAAAAGAGCATAAAAGTGAGCTTAAAAGAATGTTCACAGGGAACTTAAAATACCCAAGCTTCAACAGCTAAACACTCCATAAATGATTCATACATAGATTGAACGTTTGAAGATAACTGATTGTACAAGACTACAATTTATTTAATTAATGTAGCTCCCAAGAAAGGTTTTGAATTAAATTTGACGACTGCTGGGAGTAAAATGATCAAGAGTACACTTTCATAGGCTTTAAGACTGCTAGCAAGGGAGATGGTGCATACACACGGCTATTCAGAGTTATGTCATTCAGCAGTATAATGCGACAAACCATCTTGTGATATTTCTCGAGTTTTAAACTTTGTACCAGTAAGTATAAAGAGGGTTCTGATCTCTACAGTTTTGGTAATTAACAGCCTTGTAAACATCTTTTTAGTTTAAAAATGCACAGCGACTTGAAAGTGCAATCATTATTAAGGTATATTACATAACGTATATTACATTCAATTGACCAGTCCTCCGAAGAGACTTCGAAAGGAACGCCAAGATTAACAGTTGACCCACCTATTATTACTCACTATTGCAAACGAGCTGGTAGAATAAAATATTTATTTCGTACTGAACTAGAATTTTACTCACTCCCAAAAAATTTTTCACAAGCACAAAACAAAACAAACAAAATTTCAGAGAACAGCTTGGTGCACTTCACATTCATCAGCAGCAAATTTAAAAAATCACAGCCTCAGTCAGCATGGCATCATCATCCACAACTGATATAGAGGGTTTCCACTTGTAACTTTTACAAAATGAACCAGAGAAGAATGTAAATAATTTAGTTTCTATTCACGCACATACCACAAATAGATAATAGAACATACAATGACACACCCACCCTCCAAAAAAAATAAAATAAATAAACCAACAACAATAACACACATACACACGAAACATATTTCAATGTACATATGAGCAAGTAGGTCTTTTGAGTAGCTGTACGGGTCCTGCTGAAAATGTGTCAATAGCTTAGTAGAGTGTCATCACATCCTTCTGGTAAAATGCTTCTTGTATTGCCTCATTTCACGAACACAGTATCACAACTTTGTAACTTTTGATGTACGTCACACCTACATATAAGCCATTTTTATGCACAAAACAAACCAGTAAGTAAGCAAACATGTTGCACAATTTAGATGTATAGTCCACAACTCATCTGAAAGTACCAATGTCTCTGAAATGACGACATTTCCAAGTTTTGCAAAAGTTTGCTGTGAGCTTAATACAATATACTGAATCGGTCGCCTTCATTGTCATAACTTTCAAGTTAGGCACTAAAGTGGAATATCATACTTGGGTCATTGTTTCAAGCTGCAACCAAAGAAATTTTTTGTGTACTAACTCAGAACTTAAATGAATAAATCCTGTATAGCGGTACAACGATCCTATGGAAAAGCCAATTATTATAAATATACCAGTCACTTTTATTTTTCCTTCTACGGATTCTTGATACTAAATTTCCAACAGAAAGATCCATGTACTGGACTAATGTCTTATGCAAAAAGAAACTGCCAGTATATTATCTTCACTCAGTGCATATATTGTACACTGAATTACTGAAGGCAAAACTTTCTCTGCACTAATGTCATTGCTGTAAACTTGTGCACTCTTTAAGTTAAATCATAAATTGACTAGTACACGCACCATGTTTTCATCAACACTTGGGGGTGGTTGGTCTTTGCGATAAAAACTTGCACAAGGATTGCTGGTAGTGGGACTTGTCTCTGTAACTGAAGTGTTACTAGTACTACTACTGCACGTTTGTATAGAAGAAGGCACAAAGAATGAAGACTGCTGAGAATTTTGCTGCTGTAACCGTGTTGATTGTGGAAATGCTTGCACAAGCTCTTCAAATGATACGTTATGCAACTTAGATGAAAATGCCATGGCAAGGAACTCCAATTCAGTATCCGTTAATGTTGTATTTCCCACAAGCTCTTCGGTAGATGCTGACGCAACAGTAGTCTGAGCTGAAAACGAGGCAGAAGAGGTCGCCGTTGAGGAGTATAACATTGAGGGTGATGCAGTTGGAGTAAGGTCAGTGTATGACGATGTTGGAACCGTTTCTGAATATGACAGGTTTGAGTTTTCAAAAAGGGATGTGAATGAAGGCAGAGGCCCACTAGTTGACTGGAATGCAGAATCTGAAGCAAATGAGTCTAAAGTATCTGTTGAAGGTTGCTGCAATGAGGCACTAGACAGGAACGAATCCAAAGAACCTGTGTCTCCATGAGCTTCCCATGGTGAGTGGTGACTTGGATTTAGCCCGATGACACTAGTACAAGGCAAAAGATCATGAACTATTTTCTCTTCTCCAGTATTTTCCAAGGCTGAATCAGTGTCCAAGTAAGAAGGCATCGAAGGTTCAAGAGGAGTCAGAGGAGAGTAGCTAGCTGCTCCAGACGTTGACCAGTTGAAAGGAATCAAGCCTTGAGTTGGACACTGAGACTCATTGGGCTGTGGATCAAGCATGATATCTGTCAGCAGCTCCGACAAAGGAGGAAGGCCTTCAAAGTGGCCCGGGTCTACCGTCAGGTCTTCTGTGGCATAGTCCATCATGCTCTCTTGTTTCATCTCAGTGGATAGATGCTTCATCGTGTTGACAATCAAAACATTGCGGAGGAGTGGCACTTCTGTCCTGCGCCTGGGCGGGCGTGCTGGATTGACATAGCGCAGTTTGGCAGTGCACAAGTCCATGATGGACTGCTTATCATACATCTCTTCGTCTTGGAAGACGTCCGACCACTTGCGCTTTGATGATGTCGCCATGGGTGGCATCCCGCTGAAAACATAATAATGGGAGGGATATTGCACATGTGACAAAGAACAATTAATGTTACACTCTTTATTTTACACTCTTTTAGACATGCAGACAGGCTAGAGCTTCTTATTTAATTAATTTTATACTTCCTTATACGATGGGTATGTTACATTTTTATATTTTCAAAAGTTTCAATCCTTCATTTGCACAATATGAAAGGAATTGGGGCATGTGATACATATGTCCATTTAGCTGTGGGACAAAAAAAAAAGTTTAGAGAGGATGGAAAGTTGAAAGAGAGAGCCATAAAAAGCATGTGACACAAAAATACCCCATGTCCATTTAGCCCGAAAGAGAAAAAAAAAAACGGATAAAAAGAGAAGGAGGTTGGCTGAAAGAAATAACGTGAGAAAGAGAAAAAAAAGCAATGTCTGTTTAGATGCTGAGTCAGTCACCATGCCTTTTAAAGTCAGCATCAATCCTTGTATTTTAATTCTTATATTAAATCTTACGTCTGTGCTTATATTTCATTCAGCATTTAACTATACAAATAAATAATAAATGGATTAAATGTTTGTGTTTTTATGCCCGCATTAACTCACTGACACATTTTAAGACATTAAGGAGACGGGCTTCCACCCTGCCCATCAGTGTCAACATGAGCTGATAAGAGTACATCTCAGTGGAGCATTGAATTACTCAAAAGTATCTACACAAGGAAATTGAACCTGGTTCTTCTTCATGCTGCTGGAATGTGTTCACTACACCAGGCTTGGCAACTTTTGGGATACTGAATTCTGGAATTTTAATTGCGCAGGAGCACCACGGACACACACACTTCTGTGATAGGCTACTAAAGCTACTAAAAAAAAATAAAAAAACCCACGCCACAAGAACAGCTCTAACAAACCGGAGGAAAAACAGAGAAAGAGAGATGCTGTTTGCTTCGGGAACAACGATGGCAATTCGGGAATTTCCCGAAAAATTCGGGAAGGTTGGCAAGCCTGCTACACACCGAACGCCGGTCTGCATAAAAGTGAAAGCCAGTCTGAGTCAACCTCAACAGATAATGACAATATGTCTTGATCTACCCCATTGAAACTCTAGTCTACAGAGTCGTAATAAGAAAAAATGCCATTTTCAACAAAAAACAAACAAAACAAAGCCAGGCAATTGGACTATAAGTTTTATGATAAAAAGAAAAAAGGATCTTTTAACTGGAAGTTATGGTTTGGAAAATTATTTGGACTCGACCGTGTTTTAATATTAGGCGTTAGTCCACTTGGCATTCTACCATGACAATGCAACTGCAAGTCATGCCTAACTTATCATGGTCTACCTGGCGGTCTACTACAACAATAATACCCACAGCCCATTGGCAAGATCAGCTCCATTTGGTTTGATTGTCGGGGCTGTTGGATTTTCCTACAGAGAGAGAGAAAAGCTTCAATCGGGGCAGAAACTGAACGAAACCGACTACGACCAAGAAAAAATATGTTGTGTCTTCACTTCAAAGCCGCGAGTCCCACAATTGGTTTGATGAATGCGAAAAGGTCTATTTATACAGTATAATTTATAGTGTGCACTGAAGCCACCAGAAACTGAACCGAATCAAAGTAAACCAATCCTCCAACGAGCACCGCCTATAGCCTTCTAATGATATTTTAAGACAGGATAATTCTATCAAAGTGCCTATTTGGACTTGAGTATGATTAGACAAAAATTGTATTCGGACTGTGAATTGAGTTCAGCAGGACGTCCGTTCCGACTTCCGACCCTTGCTCCCTAAACATTTCCAGCATTTATGACACATTTTTCGATTATAATGATAATCGAGACGTGAGCTTTAATATCCAGTTACTAGAACTAGATCTATCTAAACCGGCCCTCCCTGCATCATTAATATGAACAGAACAACCAAACTGAGCTGACCTTGCCAGGGGCAAAGTTAATTATGCTGACCAATGAGATTGCACGTAGCGATCACGCACTCTCGGCTTGCTTGGGAAAGAGGAGCTGGGAAGAGGCCATGGCTGCCGATTTTGTGCGATGGGATAAAATGCACTCTATATGAAGCCTAACCCAATGACAATGAACATTATTGATACACAATCACATGAAGCTACAGCGAGCACCCAGAAAACCTCTGTGATTGGCCCAAATATAGAGGACATATTCCGCCATCTATTTTTGTCGTCTTCCGGGGCTTCCCCCAAGACTCTTGGATTTCACTCGCCAGTATATGTTGACTAAATCTCGCCTTTTATAAACAATTTCAGCAATTCACGTTCCATAAATTTACGTTCTCAAATTTGTACACACCCCCCCCCCCACAAGCGCGTGTGCGCCCACACACAAACACACAAGCGCGCACATTATACACACAAGCGCGTGCATCCACACACACACGCGCCGTTAAACGTAGAAGACGCATCTTTCTCATTGGATGCTAACTTTAGTAATGTGATGTCATCACTTCCTGGGATACCCTGACTATTTTAAGAAGGCCGTGGAGATACCGCATGGAATGACGTGTTTTCGGTAACATTTCAGTTTTCCTAGATCTAGTATTTGGACATGATGGAAGATCGCTTGGATCTAGATCCTTGATGCTCAGAACAGTAAGATTAAGAACGCTGATGCTTGAAATTGAAACACGGTTAAAGCAAAGACAATAAACCGCACGAAAATTGCCGTAAAGACGCTGGAGGATTAGATCTAGATCTACCCCCCCCCCCCCCCTGCATTCTTCATCACTAATATACATTTTTTTAAAAACAAAAAATTACAAAGCAACAAATTATAATTTATGGGACAAACTGTTGGTCAGTCGGGAGGAGGAGAAGAGAAAAAAAACAGTGACCGGGATCGAACCTCTCATAAAATAATTGCATGACTTCAAACACAGACGTGCTGTCCATTCGGCTATCAGAACTTCCAACAGCGAGAGGTAGATTAAGCTTGATAAACATAGACACTTCCATCTTTGGTGCCATGCGGCATGCTATACTTAGATGTAGTCACGTGATTGGAGGGGTATCCTGGTCTGACGTCAAACAAGATGGCCACCTTACCTAAAAATAGTTTGCGTCCTTCTACGTTTAATCGCATGTCACGAACATACACAGCCCAAGCAGTCAGCGATGAAACCTAGATGAGAGACCTAGATCTAGACTAGTCTAGTGTCGTAGCCCATCGCGCGCTAAGGTTAAGTGGAAAAGTGGGCTCGCCACAGTGAGATCTAGGGTAAGCCAGATCTAGTCAACTGGCGATGCCGATGGAAGCCCCAGAAGACGACAAAAATAGAGGTGTGCTATGTGCTCACTGCAGCTTCATATTATAGAATTATAGAATCAAGGGTGCTTTTTCGGTAACTCCCACCCCCCTTATTTGAGCCTTGACCTACATCGAGATCTATACGTTTGATGCGCGGCGAGCTAAGATATCAAACCTAATAACTGTAAAACATCAAATTATTGTAAAATACAGGGGGGGGAGGGGGCATGCCCCCCTGAAACCCCCAATCATATATTTATGATGAAACGAGTGACATGGTGGTAATTGACAAAAATTGACTTTTTGTCAATTGCCACTGAGTGAAGCGATGTCAAGTCTGAAAACAACACTATCTTTAGCATCATACATAATGTGTGTCTAATGGGTCAATTTGTTCTCAACTAATTTTATTGGACGAGCAACTAGTCTAGAGCTACGGTACCAACTTGGCGTGTGTTCAATGAGACGTAGGCCTGGATCTAGGCTCGCCTTAGCCTGCACTTTGGTGCAGAACCAAAACAGGCAATTCTAGAAGAAGGTCGCAAACGCACACAAACTCAAGCAGAAAAGACACACACACACAGAGGGACAGAGAGATGAACGCACAACACCGAGCACAATAAGCTAGATCTACCCACCAACGCAAAAGAGCTCCAATTTACTTGGTGGCAATTGACAAAAAGTCAATTTTTGTCAATTGCCACCGCGCCACTCAGTGGCAATTGACACTACCTATATTTATTGGGTCAGGGGGACAAGCCTGAAAGTGAAACCGCCCTACTCTTGGGGCCAAAACCGGCGAATAAATGTTGCGGGGTGGGAACTACCGAAAAAGCGCTAGATCTAGATCTAGGTGAGATTGAGGAATACCGGACCAGCGGACTGACTTTGCCTATGTCCCAGCCTTAGGAATTCATAATTTCCCCGTTTTTAATATCTCTCAATGGAGAATCTCGGACTGGTAGATCTATTCATTAAAATTTTGTCAGGGGGGAGACCCCCCCTCCCCCACTTTCTCGCGCAATAAGGTACGAGTGGTCTGGTATTCTTCAATCTTCCCAAGCGCTAGATCTAGATTCAAGATCAAAACTCATTCTGATTTTGTGCTGAATCAGCCAAGAACCAACTCGTGAAAAATCTGAACCTTTTCTCTCTCGATCTAGATCTAGAATCTAGATCTAGATCTAGACCCTAGATCTAAATCTAGTCTAGATCTATCTTGACTTATTTACCTCTTATCAGACTGCGGTATGATAGTACCAACACATATTTCTCCACTATAAATTAAATTCTAAAACTTAAAATGAGACTAACTGATAAATGGTACAGTCTTGTAAGTCCCATCCTCAGCCCTCTAAACCTCACTTCACTTCAGAGTCTGAAATGTGCAACAGGCAACATAAACTGAGTCTTATCCAAGTCTGCTCATTTTGTTCACAGAAAGTCTTTTTGTCTACAGTACAGCTTTAAAAGCAAGGAAATGTTTTAAACTCAAAAGAGAAGATGCTTGTTAGATGTAGTCATGACACCCAAAGCCCAAAACAATCTGACCCACTTCTGAGTTAGACCAGTCGATGAGAACTGAAGGCAGATCACGCACCCTGCTGCCTGCACGTAGGGACTCGGCGGCTATGTTGGGATTGGCCCGCTCGCTATCCTTGCAAAGTTCCAAACTCGAAGTAGGGAGAGGGGGGGAAATCAATAAAAGCACTGTTTTGCGACAGAAAACTGTTGCCTTCTTTTTGATTCTGATGTGTGGTGGTAAATAAAATTGCATAAAATTTGAAGGAAATTTTTTTTACAGTGGACTAATGTATTAGATGAGTACCAAACGAAGAAGAATGGGACAAGTCAAACTGGCCCTTTCTCCTGTTCGTCTTTCTAGATTCAAATTGGGTCAACAAAGGCCAGCAAATCAGCTGGGTCAAGAAAACGAGACATAACGTTGATTCTGTCTTCACAAACACAACAAAAAACAATGGCAACAGTATATCGATGGGGAAAATACAACAATCAAGTTTCAAATTTCTCAAAGTAAAATATAAAAAAGTAACAAGATTTTGACAACTGAATCAAAGTTTGTCGGCGAGACCGACGAGTCGAAAACCCAGAGAGATGAGGGAGAAACGAGAGAGACTAACTCTAACAAACAGGTCCGCTCTACTCGCTTCCACTAAAAGGTGAAAATCAAATACATATTAGACCGCAAACAATACACATACCTTTTGATTAATTCTCCTATCCTTTAAACTAGTTGCAAAACCAGAATAGAGAGCACAACAACTTCTTTCATCCGTTTTCCGACATAGTACAACATGAGTTGCTTGAATGTCCCGTCTCGACGATCTGCTTCATTGCGCAGTCGCGCACACTGTGGTGTTGCTGCTGACGTCAAAGTCCGAGGTGAATAGTTCGCGGGCTATGATTGGACAAGTACGCTGGTAGAAATGGGGAGCTATTCTTTAAAAAAAAATCTAATTAGGATTTTGAGTTATCAGTTTCAATATTCCTTACGTATAAAAATATATTTAAAATATTTCCAATTTTGTACCTTACATATCTTGAACATAAAAAATTATCAATTCACTCGATGGCCTTCTGGCTAGGCCTTGGCTGTGAAGCCCAGAGCCGTGAACAAAAACTGCGAACAAGGCAACAGCTTATATGCCAGGTTGTCTCTGTACTATATTATACAAAAACAAAAAATGCCAGTTGAGAAAGAAAGACGTTCGGAAAAAAAATAGATCTAATAGGCCTAGCTCGTATACGGTTTTCATATTGAATGAAAAGTATGGATTGCAGAGATCCATCAGAAAATGTTAGTCTGAAAGGTTTTTAATTAAGCAAAAGTACTTTACTAGGAAAAATCTGGCATACTGACGCTAAGTTTAAGAGAAGAGGGGAGAAGAGAACTTTCAGGCTGTACTGTTCACTGTTCACAAAGAAACATAAGACAAGACCGCTTACCGTGTATTCTGTATCATGCGTTTGATATGCGTTGACGAGCAAAGGCAAAGGGTTGTCTTTCAGTGTTTTCAATAAACTTAGAAAATGAAATAATATAGAAAAATAGTTGGTCCACCATGAACACCTGCCTGTGCTCGCGCATACACACACGCGCACATAATATATTTATACTCACTCTCTTTCTTTCTCTCTCTTTCTCTCTCTTTCTCTCTCTCTCTCTCTCTCTCTCTCTCTCTCTCTCTCTCTCGCACACACACACACACACACACACACACACACACACACACACACACACACACAAACATTCGCTCAAGTGAATCCCCTGTAAACTATTCATGTAACATCTATAATACTCATGTCAAAGCGACACTTGTGAAAGTGAGAAGTGCTTTTAATGATTGAGCTGGCACGTTTAGATCTACTGGATTACCATTTTTTGGGGTCTTTTTAAAGGAATATTGTAAACAATCAGCTATGAAGAGAAAGGAGACAGAATATAAAGGCAACAGAAAAGTATATGTGTTTATATTAATTTGATAGAAAGTAAATAAGTGCAGTATAGTAATATTTTCCCACAGTTGAACAAATATAATGATTTACTGAAAGATTTCTTATAGCCTAGATCTAGAATCTACTTGAAAAAACCCACTATAATAAAATAAATAATGTTTAAAGCACACACACACACACACACACACACACACACACACACACACACACACACACGCGCGCGCGCGCGCACACACGCACGCACACACACACACACATACACGCACAGGCACACAACACAAGCTCACTCAAAGCTTAGCACATCCTTTCTTTGATGTTTCATACCAAATCAAACTAGAACTAGAGAACCGAGTGAGTTGATAATCTGGAGAAGCCCAACCACATACCCCATCATATATGCAGTAGTTGCCACCCTGAACGGTTTCGCCCAGTATAATTTGGAAATTTTTATGGCAGGTGGACGGTACGAAAATCTTAGTGTCCATTTAACAAGGTGGGCGCTGGCTATAAATGTGTGGACAAGCACTGGTCTGCATCTTTGCATGCGTTTTGTTGCTCTTGTTTGTTTGGGTTTTTATGTCTTATTCTGTCATATCAAATATTTTGTTAGAGCTATCTTGTTTGTCTGCTCTTCTATGACATTAAATTTATGGATTCTCCCAACTACTTTGGAATTATTTTTATCAGACTGTGCACAGATATTATAGATATTGGTTTAGTTCATTTTTAGCATAAAACACAAATTAATATAAATGTTGTTTTCATCAGATAAATTACATATTGCGATATGTTTGGTTGTACCAGCAGTGTGCAGATGCGGGAGTCTTGGATTGGAAAGATTCCATGATAGGTCCCTGTGAAGGGTATCAGGCATTTCATTAGTACTAAGGGAAACAAACCAATAGCAAAATAAATGTCAGCCTTCTTGTTTTAGATTATGTCCCCTGTTTATCGTTTGCGTTATCCTCTTCACCCACTCCCC